AAATTTATATACCTACTCAATACCTCTTAACAAGATATTCATAAACCTTTTGTTTTGTGCTCAATGTATCAACACATAATTATGGGGCTTTTCTTGGAAGAAAACAAAATTTTTTGTTCTAATGTTTAAGGTTAACTTCCTTGGGTTGAGATTATTATTTTTGTCTTCTTTTTTTTCTTCTTTTTTTTAAATATATATACATATAATTTAAAAACACCATGCATCTTTAACCCATGTAACGAGCTTTCAGCTAATGACTCCCAGACCAGTTGGTCTTAGGGCATTAGGTGTTAAGACACCCCTACGGGCTTAGTAACTCGGGTCACAGATACTAATACGTTGATAGTGCAATGTTTGATTCCCTTAAGCTTTTTTATTCAACCCATGTAACAAGCGTTGGGCCAATAGCTCCCAAGTCAGTTGACTTTAGGGTATTAGGTGTTAAAACACCCCTTCGGGCTTAATTGCTTAGGTTAGGGAGGTTACAAAAGCAAACTTATCTATATTTTTATTATCATCATTTTTTTTTGCTTTTTTTTTGTTTTTTTGTTTTTATTTCAAATTATATACTACCACTTTCCCTTAGTAGTTACCTTTAACAAAAGAACATAAATAATGTAATAATCCAATATGCAACCCACAATCATATGTTAAAGTGCGTGTGTGTAAATTAAGGTTTAAGAATACATGTTAAATAAGTATATGAGCAAAATTAAGTGATAACAATGCGAGAGTTTGTAAATCTGAATATTTCAAGAAGTATTATGATAGACCTCGTTACGAATGATTACTAAGATGCGTCTCAAGAGTCATAAAACTTCTCCTTACTCTGCCATCATAGTAACAACAATTTTGCACATGATTTATGAAATAGAAAACACAGTTTTTTTTAGCTACTACCCCCTCCCCCCAACTAAAACAAGACATTGTCCTCAATGTTTAAAGGTAGAAAGATAGAGTATAGTAGATATTACCTGAAATAGCGAACACTGACAAACTTGAAACACACTGAAACAAATATAAATAACAACAAAACACAATAATAAAACCAAAAGACACAAAGATTCACAAATAAAGGCTCAAATCCAATCTAAGCTTTTTACGGCTTTTCTTAGTTGACCAATTTATGCAACTCATGGAAGGATCAATTACAGGAATGAAAGATTGTAGTTGGTCAATCAATTGTTCAGCAGTAGCAGTAGAGATTATGATTTGTCGTGCAGAAGATGTTAGAAATTCTTGTTCCACAGCATGATCAAGAAAAGACAACAACTTATCATAATAACCATTAACATTTAACAAACCTATGGGTTTATGGTGAATGTGCAGTTGGGCCCAAGAGGAAATATGCAAGATCTCTTCCAATGTGCCTAGACCACCTGGTAAAGCAATGAAGGCATCAAGATGGTTAAACATTGCATTCATTCGAGCTGACATTGTGGAGACCTGAAGTTCCTCTCCAATTGTTTTTCCAATGATGTCTCCTTATGCTAAAGCTTCGGGGACGACCCCCAAAACTTTACTACCTCCTAAAAATGCAGCTATTGACACACCTCCCATTAATCCAAGACTGCCCCCCCATACACTAAATGAATCTTTCTCTCAGCTAGCACTTGACCAAGATGATTTGCTGATTCTAAAAACTCATTTTCTTTCCCAAGACTAGATCTACCGAAAACACAAATATTTCTTATATGATGACCTAAGGAACTTGCCATTTCTACACACTTCTTTATTTGTTGAATGTATGGGTTGAGTAAAAATGAAAGGAAGGAAGAGAGGATTTTATAGATGAGAAATTAGAAAGACAATCATACCACCTTTATGTAGGCCAGCTAGAGTCTCACACACTCTCTCTCTCTCTCTTTATTTATTTATTAATTTACTTTTGAAAAAGCATGTGTATGTACAGGTAGTTGTGATTGTGGCTTACATCTTCCCTTGGTTTTACGTCCAAAAACAGCTTAAACGCCCTCTATGGGTCGGGGATAGGCTTCCCATCCAGTTTTCTTAAAAACTGGCAAACAGGGTCTTTTTTAGTCAGATTCCCAAGACTAAGTCGATCATGTTCTTTATGAAATAGTGGCCATAAATCATGAATTGCACGATGCACATCTCCACTAGGATGCGTCTCAAGAGTCAATAGAAGATTATCTAAAGACTCCTTACTCAGACCATCCTTAATGAATTGTATTTTATCTTCACGGTTTATAGATACCATTCCTAAAGAATGACATTGTGTATTACAAGTCCATCTAGCACATCAATGACAGACTTTCAGTCGTTTTTCACGACGTTTCTTTGCAAAAGTGCTTTTACCTGTTCCAAGCATGTGTGAAATGAAGGAGTTAGAGGACTCACCTGATAATCGGACCTTTGCTTCAATCAACCAGTGAATACCTTCAAGAATTCCATGATTCATTAACAATCTCAATCTTGCACATCTAGCAAAGTAAATTTTTGTAATAGCATTCTGAGGCAGAGTAGGAAAATACTTTTTCAATTTTTCAAGATTAGTGTCCATTTTCAAATGAGAATTGGAAGAGAGATTCAAAGAATTGCACAAATATATACACAGATATCAGTTATTGTGGGAAACTGAAAGAACCAACTTAAGTCACGGAGTACCATTATCCACCATTTGACCGGGGTGGGAGAAACTAGCAAAAATCACTCAAAAAGAAACATAAAAAAAAATCAATCTTTATATACAGGATCACCCAATTCAATAGAGTCATGTTCAACTGAAAAATTGTCAAAGTAAACTTTCAGACGATGTCCATTTACCTTGAAAACATTGCCATTCTTTGGATTCTCGATGTCATAAGCCCTATATGGATACATATGTTTCACAATAAAAGGACCGCTCCATCTTGATCTTAATTTTCTAGGAAATAAATGCAGTCGAGAATTATAAAGCAAGACTTTTTGACCAACATTGAATGTTTTTCTCAGTATTTTCTTGTCATGAAACTCTTTAATTCTTGCTTTATGAATTCTTGAATTTTCATATGCATCATTTCTTATTTCCTCAAGCTCATTTATTTGTAATTTTTGCAGTTGACTAGCATCATCCAGATTTGAATTGAAAGCTTTAATAGCCCAATAAGCTTTATGTTCCAGTTGACTACCATCATCCAGATTTGAATTGAAAGCTTTAATAGCCCAATAAGCTTTATGTTCAAGTTCCACAAGCAAGTGACAAGGTTTTCCATAGACTAGTCTATAAGGTGACATACCTAATGATGTTTTATAAGCAGTTTGATAAGCCTAAAGTGCATCATTAAGTCTTAAAAACCAGTCTTTCCTATTAGGGTTCACTATTTTCTTCAAAATATGTTTGATCTCCCTATTAGCAAGCTCTATATGTCCACTTGTTTAAGAGTGATAAGGGGTGGCAACTTTGTGTGTGATTCCATGTTTCTTCATTAAAGACTCAAATGGTTTGTTGTAGAAATGTGTTCCACCATCACTTATTATGGCTCGAGGGACTCCAAATCAACTCAAAATATTTTCTTTCAAAAACTTTATCACTGTTTTGTGATCATTGTTTCGACTTGGAATTGCCTCTATCCATTTTGAAACATAATATACTACGACTAATATGTATAAGAAACCAAATGATGGAGGGAATGGACCCATGAAATCTATACCTCAGCAATCAAAGATCTCAATGACAAGAATAAGATTTAAAGGCATCATATGACGTTTTGAAATAGATCCTAACTTTTATCAATTTTCACAAGATTTGCAGAATGTATGTGAGTCTTTGAACATGGTGGGCCAATAAAATCCATTTTGTAAGATTTTTGCAGTTATCTTTCTTGACGAGAAATGGCTCCCACATGCCTCAAAATGACAAAATTTAATGACATTACTTACCTCATTGTCAGGAATGCATCTTCGAAATATTTGATCAGGACAATATTTAAATAAATAAGGGTCATCCCAATAAAAGTTCTTCACTTCGTTCAAGAACTTTCTTTTATCTTGGGTACCCCAATGAGCTGGCAATTGTCCTGAAACAAGAAAATTGACAATATTAGCAAACCAAGGAATTGTAGAGACAGAAAGTAAAGATTCATCGGGAAAGTAGTCATCGATTGGTGTAATGTCAGTTTTAGAATCTGTTGTCAATCTTGACAAGTGATCTGCAACAACATTTTTACTGCCTTTCTTATCTTTGATTGTGATATCAAATTCTTGAAGTAACAAAATCCACCGCACCAATCTAGCCTTAGAATCTTTCTTAGAAAGAAGATATTTCAATGTTGCATGATGACTAAAAACAACAACAGGTGAGCCAACAAGATAAGACCTGAATTTTTCACATGCAAATACTACTGCAACTAATTCTTTTTCAGTGGTGGTATAATTCATTTGAGCACTATTTAAAGTTTTACTTGCATAGTAAATTACATAAGGTTTCTTATCTTTTCTTTGTCCCAAAACAGCACCTACGGCATAATCACTAGCATCACACATTATTTCAAAAGGTAATGACCAATCGAGAGGTTGAATGATAGGAGCACAAGTAAGCAAGTTTTTAAGTTTAACAAAGGCTTCTTCACAATGTTCACTCCATTCAAAAATATTATCCTTTGTTAGAAGGTTACTTAAAGGCTTAGATATTACACTAAAATCTTTGATGAACCTTCTATAAAAACCAGCATGTCCTAGGAATGATCTAACATCTTTAAGAGATTTTGGTGTTGGCAAGTTTGCAATTAACTCGATTTTAGATTTGTCAACCTCAATTCCTTTTGATGAAACAATGTGACCAAGTACAATGCTGTTTGTTACCATAAAATGACATTTTTCCCAATTCAGCACAAGATTCTTCTCTTCACACCTGGTCATAACCTTTTTTAAGTTAGTCAAACAATCATCAAATAAATCACCAAAAACAGAAAAATCATCCATGAAAATTTCAAGAAAATGTTCAACCATATCACTAAATATACTAAGCATGCATCTTTGAAATGTGGTTGGTGCATTACATAATCCAAAAGGCATCCTTCGATATGCAAAAGTACCGAATGGACATGTGAAAGTAGTCTTCTCTTGATCTTCCAATGCAATTTCAATTTGGTTGTAACCCGAATAACCATCTAGAAAATAATAAAATTCATGACCTGTAACTCTTTCTAGGATTTGATCCATGAAAGGTAAAGGAAAATGATCTTTTCTAGTCATTGAATTAAGTTTCCTATAGTCAATGCACATGTACCAACCAGTAATAGTTCTAGTGGGAATTAACTCATTGTTCTCATTTGTTATCACAATGACTCCAGACTTCTTGGGTACAACTTGGGTAGGACTTACCCATTTGCTGTCAGAAATAGGATAAATGATTTCATTATCTAGAAGCTTAATGACTTCATTTTTCACTACTTTCATATTAGGATTTAGCCTTCGTTGCATTTCTCTAGAGGGTTTAGCATTTTCCTCTAAATAAATTCTGTGTGTACAAATCAAAGGACTAATTTCTTTTATCTCAGCTATGGTCCATCCTAATGTATTTTTGTGCATTTTTAGAGTTTGTAATAACTTACCTTCTTGATGTGCATTAAGTTTGGAAGAGATTATTACCGGAAAAGTTTCATTTTCTCCCAAAAATGAGTATTTGAGATTAGATGGCAACGACTTCAAATAAGGTTTTGGTGGTTAAACACTTGAAGGTATGGACTTAATTGATCATGGTGGCAATTCCTCAATTTGTGGCCTCCAATTACTTGTCTTTGATTCTTCCTGAAAATAAATCATTTGCAAATTATCAGATTCATCAATCTCAATTTCATTGGAAGTGGTTGGAAATTGATCATAAATTAATTTTTCAGTAAAGTCCACTTCCTGTAAATCATTATCATCTCTAGGTTGCTTGCAAATGTTGAAAATATTCCAAATGATAGCTTCATCAGTCCATTCCTACAATTAATCAATGCGTTAGAAGTTGCAAGAAATGGATGTCATAAAATAACAGGAAATGAATTACATACTTCAACAGGTTGTGTGTCCAAGACAATAAAATCCACAGGATAAATGAATTTATCGACTTGTACTAACACATCTTTAATTACTCCTCTAGGCACTTTTATAGATCTATTGGCAAGTAAAAGAGTTATAGAAGTTGGTTTTAACTCACCTAGATTGAGACTCTGAAAAACTGAATATGGAAGTAAATTCACACTAACACCAAGATCAAGTAAGGCTCTTTCAATTTTATGCTCTCCAATAAAGCAAGAAATTATAGGACAACCAGGGTCTTTATATTTCAAAGCATTATTGTTCTGAAGAATAGCACTAACTTGTTCGGCTAGAAAGGCTTTCTTTTTCACATTCAGTTTCCTCTTCACAGTGCATAGATCTTTTAAAAATTTAGCATAGGAAGGAACCTGTTTAATAGCATCCAGTAAAGGTATATTGATTCTTACCTGTTTGAAAGTTTCAAAAATTTCAGAGTTGTGATTGACTTTCCTTTGTTTAGTCATGGCTTGAGGGAATGGAAGTGCTGGCGGTGAATCAGTCGTTTCTTTGCAATTTTCAGATTCATCCCCTTCCTTACCCTCAGAGATTGACTCATCATCTTTCTCATAAGGTTCAAGAGAGGGTTTTTCAATAACCTTACCACTGCGCAGAGTAGTGACTGATTTGACTTGATCCATGTGTTGGCTTCCGGAACTACTTGCATTTGCATTGTATTGCCCTTTGGGATTTTGTTGTGTTTGAGATGGAAACTTACCTTTCTCTTGGAAACTGAGAGCAGATGTTAATTTAGCAAGAGTATCTTTAAAATCTGTCATGTTTTGAGCAAGTTGAGTATTGATTGTCTCTTGCTTTTCAATGAATGCATGCAATGTTTCCTCAAGATTTCTTCTAGGAGGTGGAGCATAGAGTATTGATTGTCTCTTGTTTTTTAATGAATACATGCAATGTTTCCTCAAGATTTCTTCTAAGAGGTGGAGCATAAGGAGGTGCATATCCATGCGAATTTTAGAAATTGTGGTGTGCTTGAAATGGTGGTTATGAAGTTTGTACATTGTTGTTCTCACTCTTCCAACTAAAATTTGGGTGATTTCTCTAACCAGGGTTGTATGTTTGTGAGTATGGGTTGTGGTTGGCCCTTTAGAAACTATTTAAAGCATGGGCTTGTTCATGGAGACATTCCTTAAAAGAAGGCAAGGTTGGACAATCGTTGGTTGAGTGTTCATTTGTTTCACAGATTTGACACAAAATGTTTTCAACAGATTTTAATTGACCACTTTTTTTCAATTCTAGTGCCTCGACTTTTCTAGCTAAAGATGCAAACTTGGCTTGAAGGTCACGATCTTCCCTAAGGTTGTACATACCTCCACTAGATGTATGAGGTTGAGTTTTACTCGGTGCCTCATAAGTACCCACGATATCCTAATTTTGAGCATTTTCAGCTAACAAGTCTAAGTACTCCATTGCTTCATCAGGATCTTTATCTTCAAAAGTTCCATTGCACATCAATTCAACCAATCTCCATGTTTCAAAACCATGATGAGGGCAAGTACTAAGCAAGTCTTGATACCTATCCCAATATTGGTAAAATGTTTCTCCTGGTTTTTGAGTGAAAGTAGTGATTTGTCTTTTGAAAGAGTTTGCTCTGTGAGATGGGAAAAACTTCTTCAAAAACTGTTGTTGCATTTCATGTCAAGCACGAATGGATCCTGGTCTTAAATTTTGTAGCCATGTTTTAGCTTTATCTTTTAATGAAAAAGGAAAAAGCTTTAATCTGATGGTGTTCATGCTACAATTTAAATTATTATATGTGTTGCAGACCTCAAAAAAGCTTTAATATGATGGTGTTCATGCTACAATTTAAATTATTATATGTGTTGCAGATCTCCTCAAATTCCCTTAAATGCAAGAATGAATTTTCCAATTCTAAGCCATGAAAAGAATGTAAAAGTTGAATAATGTCTGGCTTAAAATTAAAATGAGATGTATTGGGAGGAAAAACTATGCATGATGGTGCACTTGTTCTTGTGGGATTCATGTGGTCTCTAAGTGTTCTAGCACGGTTATTCTCATTATTCTCATTATGAAGTGATTGATTATCTTCTTCGGCCATATTTTTTGAAAATGATGAGGATACCCTACAAAGTCTACCACTTGATGTACGTGACCACACTCTCATGCACATGTAGGAATAGAATAAAAGGAAGAAGAAAACAAAAAAAGAAGAAACAAGACAAAAGAAACAAAGTTATATACAAGAAAAGTGAAAAGAGAAAATAACATAACTACTATAATTTATACAAGAACTTACCTGCCCGGCAACGACGCCAAAAACTTGACATGACTAAAAGATTGATGTCTTCTCCCAAGTGTAGGAGTGTCGAAGTAATAAATAACCCGGCAAGACCAGGGTCGAACCATAGGGAGGTTAATTGTACAAATTATAAACAACAATAATAGCAATAACAACAACAACTATAATAACAATAATACAAGTAGTAGTAGTAGTAGTAGTAGTAGTAGTAGTAGTACTAAAGAAAGAGAAGAAGAAGATGATGATGAGAACTTGGAGATAGAATATTAATGTAAGGATTAAACAATGATAATAACAAATGTCAAGGTTAGAGGTTCCACTAATGGTATGTCAAACAAGTATAATATAAACTCTTATTATTCAATTGGAAACCACACACAAAGGAGGTTCCAATCAGATTATATATTGTTAACATGATTACATTAGTCATCTTATTAAATTAATGCTAATACTTGTAAATCTCGTCAAGCATTCATGATTATAACTTATGTTAACAACAAATCAAGTTCCTTTCATAGCTCAGGTGTCGGTTATACCATACAGTATGGGCTATGAAAGTGCCAAGTATTTTTTGTACCAAGTGTTATACAACATAAATCAAGATTAGTCATTTAACAAGCAAAGTATTAAAGAGTGAACAAGATAACAAATACAAAACATGTTAGTATCAAACACTAAAGTCCATATTAAGTTTACACTATACTTATTCTTACACCATTAGTGTAACCTTTTCACCTTAACATAATAAACTTAGCTAGACATAATGAAAGAAAGAAAAATAGATAAACAAAATAAGAACATAAATAAGATAAAAGTTAACTAAGTAAAGGAAAGGAAAGGAAAGGCCTAAACTTGATATTAATGAAAATAAAGCATATAAACATTACAAAAAATACAAAGAGAGAAAGCAAGAGCATGATCTTAATCTGGACACCAAGATGCCTAAATGTATGGCAAATGCCTCGTTTTATAGGCCAAAATTGGGAACTATTGATTTGTGGGTGACCAACTCTTGACTTTGTGGCAATCCTTATCTTCTCTTGTCTGCCCAAAACATCATTGATAACGTCAAAATTGGAGCCACTTAAAAACATAAACGTTGTATGAAATTATCTCAGATTTCTTGTGTAAAAAATTGAGCTCATTTTGACTTCTAGAACTCTATATATGGCCAAAATACTGAACAGTGCTCGGGCTGGAGGACAGATTCGGGCTTCTTTGTTGTTGCTACAATTTGAACTTGAAAATGACCTTTTTAGATCATGAGCTCCATATGAAAGTTGTAGGCCTATGTCTTACCTTTCTATCCATATAAAGTAGACCTAAATCTGAGATCTATAGCTCCAGATATGACCCAATTACAGAATAGTGTTCCAGTTTGGATTGCATCGATATCTCTTTTCTAAGTTTGGCCATCTCTTTATCCTTTCAATTTCAGTTCTTAAATTCATCAATCAATCCTTTCATTTATATGATAGGCCTGCATTAAAATGAACATTTACCACAAATTAAAGGTATCTTATATTATTAGATATATTATTATAAAACATGCTTTAGTTAAGGAGTTATTGATACTTCAAGTGCAAAATGATGATATAAAACCATGATAAAAATACACTTTTAAGTACTAATCAATAAGAAACCAAATGATGGAGGGAATGGACCCATGAAATCTATACCCCAACAAGCACTTTTAAGTATTAATCAATAGATT